ATTTAAACTATCTAAATAACGAGGCATACAGCAAGCTCAGGGGATCAAAACGGCTCAAAATAAAGTTATTAATTTAATCAAGAGTAAATATTTGGCTGCCGCTCCTTGTCTAAGGCTTCTATAACTCCAAACATGACAATATAGCAACAAAGCCCTCTTATTAGCGGAGATACCTCAGACAAAGAGCCAACACATTCAAAATGAAAAAAACATCACATCTACTTGTATAGATGTATTAAGACATACTTCCACAATAATCTATTCTCTATATTGCAATATCCCATCCAGATAAATAGTAAAAAAAATGTAACTACAGAATCCTGGTAATTGTATGGCAGGTACAATGCTAGTTTACTATTGGCTATTGCAAATTGAAATAGCCAATAGTAATGTCCCAATGCTTTTCAACGGGAAAAATCCGCTTCCAAGCGGTGTACGGTGTACGGAGCTCTAGCGGTCGGACCGTGCCGAGGAGCCACGATCAACGGCATCCTCTTGTAGCCCACAGGCTCCTCTATCCAACGACCTACCACCGCGGAGCAGCACGCTTTCCCGCGGAGCCGAGAAAAGCCCACAGGCCGATTTCATGCTACAGCTCCCATATTTCACAGGCACGTTCTCGCGGTCCTTCACTACCCCTGTTCAGCCCCCGGGGACCAATGGCCGCTGAGCGGTGGACCCCCAAAGTCGGCCTACTCGCTCCCATTCACAGGACCGCACGATGAGCCGACCGGCCGCAGGACGAGCTGGCCAAGAACACTTATGTCGAGCCTGAGACATCCCCATCCCTCACCCACTCTATGCAAATTGGCATTTCACCTTGCAGGACGAGCTGGCCGGGGAAGCAGAGAGGGGACCCGACTTTGACCCACTGCTGCTCCCCGGGTAAAGGGGATAGGGACACGCAATAGGAAAGACCTGGGGCTACCTCTGTGCCAAGTTTCAGCCCCCGGGGACCAATGGCCGCTGAGCGGCGGACCCCCAAAGTCGGCTAACCGCTCCCATTCACTTCCCTTTTTTTTTTTATTTATATTCTGACATCGATCGTGTCAGAATAAAGAAAAAAAAGGACACAGCAGTGCTACTCTCCTTGGCGGCCGGGAGCAGGAGACTCCCGGGACGTCAGGGAAAGATTTCGGTTCTAGTCAGTAGAACCGAAGGGGTCCTGGGGCCGAAGCTAGCCAAAGGATCGGCCGAAGCTACGGCCAGATCCTTCGGCAGCTTCGTGAATAGACCCCTTTGTTGTAATATTGAGTAAAAGCCAATGAGTGACTAAAGCCAGTTCATAGTTAACAGCTTGTATCAAGATGTATCAGGAGAAAGACTTTTATATGTATCCCCATCATGTAATAAATATGAATTTATCCCTTTTGTAGCTTTTTTTCTTTCTCCTGGAGATGGTTAAATAATACTTAAAATATTAATGTAACACAACTCAAACTCCTTAACGCCATATATAGGCAGAGGTCTTGCTGGAAACATTGCTGAAATAAGACGGTCCTGCATAGTCATACAGTACATCAGATGAGTGTCCATTTTCTCCCAGCCAATATAGTTCTATACCACACACTGCAGCTGTACCTGGTATCTCTGGAGCCCGTGTGTTTAAGACCAAGCCTAAGCTTGACTAAGATCTGATATAAAAAGGCTTGCTGCTATGTTTGCAGGAACTGGTACCAACTTGACAAGTGATCCCATCTTTTTACATTCCACTATTGACATTGCAATGTATCCATCACAAATATCCAAGTATAAACATCATCATGTTTCTATGGAAAATCTGGAGTTTGTTGCACAAGCTGTGACTCCCCAGCGCTATTAACCATTTGAAGCTAACATCAACAACTGTGAACGTGCTTACCTGACATGTGAGTAAAAGACGATTGCAGTATCATTTACTCCTTTTCACTCCTACCATATGCATGCAAGTGGTGGTTGAGATATAAAGGCACTGGGTATATGCGCCTCATATAGTTTAACCCACTGCGTGACAGTGCAGTGTGTGGTATAGAACTATATTGACTGGGAGAAAAATGGACACTCATCTGATGTACTGTGACTGTGCAGGAACGCTGAATCACTGCAATGTTTCCAGCAAGAACTCTGCATATATGGAGTTAAGCAGTTCGAGTTTTGTTACACGAAGAGTTTGAGTATTATATAACCATCTCCAGGAGAAAGAAAAAACATACAAAGGGGATAAATTAATATTTATTACATGATGGAGATACAAATGAAAGTCTTTCTCCTGATACATCTTGATACAAGCTTTTATCTTTGAACTGGCTTTAGTCACACGTGGACTCATTGGCTTTTGCTCAATATTACAACAAAGAGTTTTCAGCAAGGTTGCAATTACCGGGATCGTGTAGTTAAATCTTTTTAACTATTTATTTGGATGGGTTGTTGCAATATAGAGAATAGATTATTGTAGATGTATGTCTTAATACACCTATACAAGTAGACGTGATGTTTTTTTCATTATGAATGTGTTGGCTTTTTGTCCGAGGTATCTCCGCTATTAAGAGAGCTTTGTTGCTATATTTTTAGGATTAAACTCCTGAGTTTAGTGTCACTTTAATGAATTAAGGTTTTTAGATATGAAAAGTATTGGATATTAAGATTCATACTTAACTACACAAGGCTTGCTTAAAACATAACTAAACTGCGTCAATATTAATACTAAAGACACGTTTGCTCTACCAGTATGCAATTGATTTAAGATCCTGCACTTTTCCAAGATTAAGGTAGATGTCTGTTTTGGAAGCTTAAAATGTATCTAAACCCAAAACCACCCTCCGAAGGAGCCACTGGATGAACAGGTCTTCCATAGCCTGTCTAGGGATTTTAGCAACCTGGCTGCCCCAATTGCACTTACGTCCCTTCTGTGGCAACCGATATAGCGAGATCCAGACTGTAGATATGATGCGGAAGAAATATTATTGTAGAACTTCAGGGAGAGAGGTTTCGGTCTTTGAACATTCAAGATAGTGTAGACTCATTTAAGTGGAAGAACAAAATAACAGCTGCCTCAACAGACTGGGAACTTTAAGCATATCTGTGCATGGGGCAATCTGTGTTAAGAGCACCTGGCTGAGCAGTACTTGAAACAGAAGTCACCAGTCATCTTCAGCCTTGGTGGCCGTAGTTGCCACTGGGCCCCCAGACTCAGGCCTTAGTGCAAGCACATGGCTAGTCCCTAGGCTTCAGGCCTAGTCAAATCAGTCAGTAGCAGCCTCCCCCAGGCAGACACCAGGGGAGAAAAACAGTCTCACATGGTCCACCCTAAATATTTATGTATTTTCCCAGCATGCATCACTGGCCATGCACCTCCTAGTGATTGGCCAGGAAGACATAAACATTCTTAACAATTAGGGTTGCACAGATACCAGTTCAGATACCAATGCTGATATTTGGCATTTTCATGAGAACTAACAGGGTTGCAGCAGTTGTGGGCTATGTCTGGGCCCTGGTGCTCTCTCCACTGTCTTAAAATCATTAGTCTGTATTGTTTTAGAAAAAAACCTGTCACATGATAATAGACAAAAAGTATCAGTAAGTGGTATCTGTGAGCACAAGTATTGGTACTTGTACTTGGTGTGGAAAAAATGGTATTGGTGCATCCCTAGTACTGTACATATACCCAGTAGCACCAGCAACAGACTGATTACAATTTGACAATAATAAAATGTACTAAGCTCTCCTGCTTACAGGGTGCAACAGTAATATTGTGTTACTTACCAGTCTTTAGATGATGTGGCTGTCTTAGTATTTTTTCAGGCTAAGAACATTTTCAGAAACTACAGAAAATATCTGTTGATCTTGCCAGAAATGCAATGTCCTTTTCACCTCCTATGAGCTATAAGAAAGCACAAACAATCTTAGCTTTCTTGTGTAAATTACTAATCCAATCAGCACCTATGTAATAGAGATGAACAAAGGCAGGAATGTTTGAAGTCTAGTCTTGGTGACAACCGTGGCTCCCTCCAAAGATATGTAGAGGAAGTAGCCCAGCATGTGTGTTATTTGCAGGCTTACCAGGTAAAAATACAGTGCGAAAACTGAAAAAATGAAAACTACTGCATCCACAACATTTAAGGACTGGTAAGCTGCAATATATTACATTCTTGTTTTGGGGTAAGGTAAGCTGCAGTGGGAAACAAAGCTTAATGTATTGGCTTAAATGTCTAGGGAGAGACAGTACAGGATAGCCAAAAACAGCATAAAAAATTATCTCTATTTGGTAGTATAATCTAATATCTTATGCCTATGCCACAGGCTAATGTAAACCTGTATGTATCTTTGACCTGTGCTGCAGCCTAGGTTTAGACCTCTCTCATGGGGCAGATAGATAGACGAATATCTGAACCAAACTCTTCCTCAGCTATAGTTTCTTCCCCCAGGCAAAGGCCTGGGTGGCAAATACTTTACCTCTCTTCAGGCCAGGACTGGGCCCTGCTGGGCACACATCCTCAGCAAGCAGAGCCGTAGAGGCAAGGACTTACATCCTCTTCAGGCAAAGTCTGGGACACAAACATCATTCTAGGTCTAGGAGCTCTCTTCAAATATGTATCACCGGCCCATTTCACTGGCATCAACCATTCAGTCATTGGCCAGGGCAGAATAAATATTTTTAACTCAAAACATTGTATATTCTTACTCTTTCAAATGGAGAATGCTCCCCAGAAGCAGGCAGAAGCAAACAATGTTCTTTGACTTAGGTGAAAACTAATGATCCTATTTAATATAAACAAAGCTCAGGCGGGCCACAGCCTAGCTGTAAACACTACATTTAAACTAGGGACTCTCCAGCCTAAGGCAGGGTCCCTACAAGCTATAAAGAGAAACTTGTACTCTAAGGTCAACAAGGCAGTTAAATAACTAGATAACATTACGACAAATGGAGTTTTGTTTAAACATATTTAAAGAATTTCTGTTTCCATGAATGCAGGAATTTTGTACAGTGTCATATGTGGAAATTAATTTGACCTTTGTTGTACTTAGCTCTACAGGTTAAGGAGAAGGTGAGAGAAGAGCCTGCTTATAGCCCACAAGCAGTAAATGTAAAGGCCCTCCTGCAGAAATCAGAAGGTAAGCTGGTGATTCAAATGCATATTTTACACAGGATGGTAGCAAAAAAGATGCACCAGGCCAGCTATATATATCTGCTTACTCTGTCATTTATTTATTGAAACATTGCAAAGAATAGTGAGTTACGTATGCACAGCTTAAAATCACCCTGTCAAGGATAGTTTTGCGCCACTAGCATACCTGTTAAAAAAAGGAGCAGTATACTTACCTTCCTGACGGCCCATGTCTTAAAACGCTGTTGCTTTGCTGATCCCTGGCCACTACAAACTTTGACCAGTCAGAAGAGTTATATCCCTGTTTCCCCCACTGCCAGCAGCAGTTCCTCAAACCAATTTATATGTCCTGTAGTAATGTAAAAGTCTACAGCGGCAGTGATATATGAGCTGCAGCAGGGAAGCAGGTATTGCACACACGTGGAAGTGTAGAATACTTACAGAATCCAAGGAGCAGTGAAACTGCTGCTTTCAAAACCCCGGCTACCAGAAAGGTAAGTATATTTCCTATTTTTAGCAGGTAGGTTTTGCTGAAAACTGATCTGTGTTTGGCTAATATGGTTACAGCATACTAAAGAACTGTGCAGGTCTAGTTATAGGAACACACAATAGTACCAACTGTTCAATGCTATATGATTAACCACACCAACAACCTGCTTTTACCACTGCCATATAACACAATGTTGCTGGGGTAAAAGATTTTAGAAACAATGACAGAGACTGCTCATGTCACAGACTGCCAGATCTGCCCATCAGTTTACGGCAGGATGGCAGCACACAAGGAACCTTCTCCAAATATATCTTCATTTTATACTGTACAGTCTATAAAGGCAACACCCGCTTACATGTTTTAGCCCTACTGGGATTTAGTCATAGCTAAGGCCCAGTAGGATTGAAAAATGTAAGAGGGTGTTGCTTTTATTACCTTTGCAGTATGAAATGAAGATACATTTGGAGGAGATTCCTTGTGTGCTGCCATCCTGCTGTAAACCAATGGGCATCCTTGGAAAGTGGATTGTGGCTTTGCACCATGGTGGTTACTCACAGAAAAAAAGTCAGGTCGCACATCGCAAGCTTCACTGAAAAATATATTGTAGCACACAGGTACACATCGTCCTGCCGTGGATCCTTTTCACTCTGACATGTTACACCCAATAATGGCCTTTGTGTGCAACAGGATTTTTTTTCTGAGCAACTGCTACTGCTGAAGCAAAATGGGCTTGGCCGGTGTGCACCCAACGTTCTCTTTAGAGCCGCTGTGAAGAAGCAGTGATATTGGGTTATGAAATTTATTTGCACCGTGGTGGTTAAGTGCAGAGTGTAATAGGATGCTAGAGCAGTGTACTCCAAGACTGTGCCAGATCTGCCCATGTTTAAGAGAAACCATCAAGATGATACCATAAAAAAAGAGACTGCCCCATACTTAAAGTGACATTAAACCCTCAGATTTTTTAATACAAACCAATACTGTAATGTGTGCCTTACTGTAATCCATGGTTGTTTGCCTTCTCTTTGCTGCTCTTCCTTTTAAATCCTCATGTCTTCTCTTGCTTGGGGAGAACGTCCCTTTGCAGCTCAGGGCCTCTTCCTGTAGTGCTGGCTCAGGTTGCAAACGTACACACAGACACCATGTAGCCATTCCAGAGACAAGGCAGTCTGCTGCAAAACAGAAGTTCTGCAGAGCATGAGAACAGATACAGATTTAAAAGGAAGAGCAGCAAAGAGAAGGGAAACAACCATGGATTACAGTAAGGCACACATTACAGTATTGTTTTATGTTAAAAAATTTGAGGGTTTAATGTCACTTTAAGATTACCAGAGGCTATGCCATGAAGAGAAACTGTGGTATATATACAGACTGACAGATCAAGGGACAGACAGAAGATGGGTAAGAGTGTGTGTAAATATGAATTATTCTCTTGCCCCTATTATCAAGATTGGTGGATTATAGAGTCATTTCTAAGTACTGGCAGCTGACTTTCCTTGTGCATAGTGCATGTACCATATAAAACACAGTCAGTGCAGCTGAGGAAAGTATAGGGCAGGATTTTGAAAAAGGCAGGGGGGGACAGAGAGAACATAGAGGGATGTGACATTTAAATATGCACAGAAGGTTACCTCTGCCCACATCATTACTCTCCTTCATCTGAAGCACTACTATTCTTTTCTCTTCCTTTTGGCTTGCATAGATCTGGCTTCTCTTTAATCATGCTGAGCCCAACTTGTGAAACCCTATACTTAGGAAAGAAATACAGTTCAATACTGTATTTGTTCCTAAGTAGCATTAATGTAATTAATTTTAATTTACATTGTAAATAGGATTTTCTTTGGTTTTTCCACATATACAGAAATGTATGTTGACTGCAGCTTTGACCGTGGAGCTTGTGACTGGAAACAGGAAACTGAAGATGATTTTGACTGGAAGCAAACAGAACGAAGCCAGGGTAATTTCATGTTTCATCTGACAAAGATTTTATACTACTTAGAAACCTTTCAGGTTGAGAAGTGAATACATTATTTATAACAATCCACAATGGACGCTTTTGTATTCTCTCTTTATTAACTGAAAGTTGCAGTGCTTCAAATCAGCAGTAAGGGCATTTACAATTAGACCATGCATGTAATATCCTTTTTGGAATTACAAGAGACACATACAAAGGATCAGCAGAAAGGAACATAGACACATACTGTATATTACTAGTCTGTAATTAGCCCTGGATTCCTTTTCAGTATTCCTGACCATCCTTTTCCCTACTCCTTTTTTCTTAGCGCTTTGTAAGCCCCTACCTCACTATTTTTGCATCTGAGGAGCACTTCTTCCACATTACTGTATATATCAAGTGAATAGCATAGAAAACACAACAATTGCCCATATCAATGTAAACTGTAGTAGAGATTAGGGATGCACCAACACTGAAACTAAATTCGGTATCAGTGCCGATACCAAGTATTTGGGCGAGTACTCATACTCGCCCAAATACTCTCTCAGTGTCCATATCTCTCTCATATCTCTCAGTGTCCAAAAGAAGAAGGCAGTAAGTAGAGACACAACACATCTTTGCCAGTCTCTACGCAGCACCCAATAATATTGTTAGAGAAAAAATTGCTGGCTATACATAGAGGAATCAAATGTGTTTTTGTTTTGTAGATTTGCTCTGCGCATGCACAAAATGATATAAAATAAAAGAAACATTTTCTATTTCATACCAGGTACAGGATTTTATATGTCAGTTCCGGCAAATGTAGGTCTCAGGAAAGAGATTGGACGGCTCAGCTTTCCATTACCAAGCTTGAAGGCAGATAACAATTTTTGTTTGGCATTCACCTACCAAATGACTGGAGAAAGATTTGGCAAACTGCGTGTGTTTGTGAATGAGGGCAACAATCCAGCATGGGAAGAACACAAAAGTAGGGATGAAAGATGGAGGATAGCAAAAATTGAAATACCCATGGCCCACAACAGAACTACTCAAACTGTAAGTTTTCCAAAAGGTTTTCTTATTCTATCTATTTCCATTGTACAAAATGAATTACTATTGTATGGCCTCAAGATATACCATTTATGGGGGCCAGAGAGGCAATCAGCACTTTAAAGATACGCTGTCAGTTTAATCAATGTACTGCAAGCTTTCGCAATGCAAGGAGTAAGGTGGGAGCATATAACCTCTGACACTGTTACTGGATTGTAGTTCCTAGTAAAAATTTTCCTTTCACTAGTTTGGGTATTTAAAGTAAACACATCCTCTTACTCAGCCAAGTGAACTTTCACCACAATTTGTGTTAAGATTTTCCCTGCACAGCTAACGTCCTTCCAATAACTAATCAAAAGTAAATTAACCTCACTGTCTTCATTTTCCCAGGCCTAAAAAAATTATAATAAAACAATACTAAATATATTGCTATATTTAAAGTGCAATTGAAGCCAAAACTGTTAGATGGGAAATGTTTCAATGGGGTCGATAGTTCTGGTGATCCTGCTGACCACAAGGGATTTCATTTTTTATTTTAGGTATTTCCTCTCACTTCCTGTTGTGGTTATTGGGCAGGAAGTGAAGGGAAGTCTCCCCAATGGGACACAGGTGGCATAGTGTTAATGTTAGATGGCTTTTGTTTCCTGTTCAATGGCTCACTAACCCAACTACAGCAGATTCATAACCCTCCTGCTGTTTTCTGCTTTCAGATTACATTTGAAGCTGAACGTGGAAAAGGAAAAGCTGGAGAGATATCGCTGGACAATGTCTTCCTTGTCACTAGTCCATGCCCTGAAGATTGAACCTGATGTTATTTTATATAACTGTACTGTATGCCAACGTGCCTCATTTTTATTATAACAAAAGAAACAGTATTTTTTTTTCTGAGATGTGACACTATGGACCATAGTCACAGTACCATCTTGTTTACAGATAATGGGAGCCGACAGAACACATGTAGGGGAGAGAGTGAATGTGTGTTCTGGAGTTCATGTGTTATATCCAAATATCGACAATGATGAAATGGTGCTGATAGCTTTGTTTTATGTAGAATAATCTTTTATAAAACTATTTAGTAGGACAGTTGAAGCAATGTGCCGCTAATTAGTGGCAGCCTTTTTAGCAAATAATTTACTTGCATTATTGTTATTGAAAAGTATTATATAAGACTAAGTATGCACTATGAAAAAAACAAACATACTTGATGAAACAAACCAAATATTGTAGACACACAATGGCAAAATATTAATTCTATATTATTGTTCAAAAATATTTTCAGTGTAAATCTAAATTCTCTGTCTGCTTGGGGCTCATCTGTGCAGTGACACAATAAGGCCCTCACCATCTGCAAATCCATTGTAAGCAAAAGCACAGCAACCATACCAGTTTTGCTTACAGAGCTTGGTGTACTGAAGTCCTAATGTCCAGACATAGTGATTTTCCTCGAACAATAACACATTTGCACACAGGGTGTGAAATCTGTATCTGCAGTTTCAAAGCGTACTAAGATTTAGATGTGAGTGATGGGACCTTTTCTTTAAATCACATTGAGAAGTTAGTAGAAAACAAGAGGCTTTCATATAAATTGTAAATAGACTTTGAGGGGCTGTGCTCCTCGGCTCCATCTAGTGGTGGGAATGTGCAGAAGTTTTATAAATCAGCCCCTATGCTTTCCGTTACCCAACGTATGGCTCACAGAGTTGGTTACAGAAATGTCAAATCAGTATGTAACTCAAAGCAGACATTTTATTTCCAATTAAAGAGAAAGTTTAGTGCATCTTCAGTGAGCACATGTAGCAGTTATTATTGTAGTGTTTAGCTTGAAGTCATTTTGATATAACTAACATTTTTAAATGCTTGTTCTTCCCCACTTTTGTTATGTATTAAATACAGCGATTTGTAGATTACTGAATAGAAAGAGCACTTGGTTGCTCGGTGCAAGTCAAAGCAAAGCTATACTGTTATCTTATATAGGATACATAGGTTAATTCTGAGTGAACAGTACCCTGAAAAAATAGAACTTTTAGTTTGACACCCTCTTGAGAAGAAGCAGTGCACATGTGACATTGCCCAGGGACTGCTGTTCCTGAAGGTCCAGATGAGTGTGAGTCTTCTCCATCTCTCATTCCCCCACCAGTCATCAGTTCACCAACAATCAGTTTATTAAGATCACCAGTCATCAGGTGGGAAGATCTGACATGAGAAAGAAAAGCCCTTCTCTTTTATCAAGATAGTCATTGTCACAAGGAGACACAGCGTGGAAGAAGGCATGGTAAGCCGGTCCTGGGAAAAAGACTTGTGAGAAGGAGCAGTAAAGCACAGCCATTGCTTAGCATTGCAAAGTGGAATGCAGAGCTTGCATATGTATTCAACAAAATGGCTGGCCATGTGTAGATCTAATTACACACTATATATGGAAACACGCTTTCCTGATATGCTGTTGAGACGTACATGTTAATGAGGGGAATTTATCAAAACTGGAGCAGACAAAATCTGGAGAAGCTAGGCACTGCAGCCAATCAGCTTCCATTATTATTTTTCAAAGCTTAACTAAACAAACTAAAGGAGCTGATTGGTTGCCATGGGCAACTGCTCCAGATTCTGTCTGATCCAGTTTTGATAAATTCCCACAACTGTTCTCTTTTAGGAACTAGGCAGGTTGGGCAATTACAAAGTTCCACACAATAACAAAAAGCCACTGCATGGCTACATTTCTATAAGAAATACATTTGTTTATAAATATGGTGGATTCCCCTTATTTCCTGCAGTTTCCTCTGCTTTATGAAGCAGGTGGTGTGCCATCACATTGTAGCTGGGCTGCTGGATGTCAGGCAGCACAGTACATAATAACGTCAGAAGATCTGCTTTATGGCTTGTTCACCCCAGCAACAGCGCTCAACCACATGGCTGCTGGTGTGCGTGTGCCTGGACAATGACAATACACTCGATTTAGACGCATCGCACTGTTTTATGGTTTTTTTTAGAACTTTATTGAAATGTCACAAGTGACATTTTATTAAGTTCAGTGGGCTCAGCATGGTGCGATGTGGTTGTACTGCGTCTTATTGCAGTGCGCTTCATAAAAAAAGTACGGCATGCCGCACTCTTTTTAAGCACACACCACCAAAATGCAGTACAGCCTGAAGGCATATGGTGTGAATGAGCTCTAAAGCTAAAAGCTCAAGAGTCAATGAAAAGGGCAAACTTAAGGTGGTTTTAAAGGTGCAGTAAGCTCCTTTGAACAATCGGCCCTATTCCTGTGGCAAAAATAGACTCTACCCCTAACAGTAACTCTAACACTAACTCTAACAATATCTCTAACTATTTGTTTACAAATAATGTCATGTGATTGTCAATGGCAACACTATTTTGGCTATCATACAGCATCACTTTACTTCTGTCCTGCGTCCCGCCCACCTTACTGATATCACTGGTTGCCAGGAGCTGGGCAGGACACCAGCTAGAGCATCCAGCTTAGCTCGCTGCAAACAGTAACGTCCGTGAGCTAAGCGGGATGCCGGCCATAGCATCACAGGTTGGTATGAGCTCTTACCAGCCTGAGGCACTCTGGCCGGAAAGGGGGCGGCAGGGGTGCCGTCCTACATTACCCAATGGGATGCCTGCTGAGGCAACTGCCTCATTATAGGGACAAACCCTTGGTAAAGGGATCTACAACTGTGACAAGTCATTCAATAGGTGGGAGGCAGTCTAATTTCCTGGTAACTACAGGCATTTGACTCTGTTGGTATGTTGCTTGATGATTTCCCCTCAATGTGCTAAACCAATGAAAAATAAATTGAGCAAAATTCAAATACATTGTAACTGTACTAAATGTTAGCTTTAGCAGTTAATTTCAAACATGTTTTATAATGTAAGCAAATAAATGATGTGTGTTTTTATAAACTATGTAAACAACATATTGAATATGTTTAAATTAAACGCAGACGTTATTGTTTAACTGAAAACTATTTTGTCTTTTTATGAAAAAAACTAGATGGAAAACTACTAATTTGAATTGCCTCTTGTGCCTGCCATGGAAATCTGACTTCAATAGGGGTGGATGTAAGGGGCAGTATGTACATACAACACATGTACCTTCTACGCAGATGCACTGTGTGAATGTAGAAGTCATTGTTTGGAAATTTGTCACATCTTCCTAATCAAACACTGCAGAGAACATCAACATTCCCTTTGTCATTCCAGGCTAAAGCTCACATCATTTTAAAATGTTGCATCACTCAGAGTAACCATAGTTGACCCTTAAAGCAGAACTCTGGGGAACACTATTATTAACTCTTGCACTAGGGCTACCCCACACTGCAAAGGTTAAAGGGTCTATTCACGAAGCTGCCGAAGGATCTAGCCGTAGCTTCGGCCGATCCTTCGGCTAGCTTTGGCCCCAGGACCCCTTCGGTTCAGCAGAACTGAAGGGCTGCTGTACGGGCTATTCACAATAGCCCGTACAGCTCCCGAACGTGGCCGAGCGGCTCAGTCATATGCCTCGGCTCAGCTGAGCCGTGCTGAAAGCCAAAGCTGGCCGAGCGGCCCGCCATTGGCCGGCCGATAGCCTGCTTCTGGCAGCTGGGTGGAGCCAGCCGTGATCTTACTGCAGAGAGATCAGCATCCCTGGTTACCTGCTAACCAATTTCCAGACAGCTAACTCTCCCTGGCGCTCCGGAAGTCTCCTGCTCCCGGCCGCCGAGGAGAGAAACACTGCTTTTTCTTTTTTTATTCTGACCGGAGCCGTTTTTTGCCCATTGGAATGCATTGCCAGATTCCTATTGGCTATTGCAAATTGAAATAGCCAATAGGAATCTAGCAATACATTCCAATGGGCAAAATTTGTATTTATTTTGTACAGTGTTCGGCTCACTTCACTTGGGGTCGGTTGTTCACTCGGCTGCTTAGTGAATAGACCCCCAAGTGCTCATTTTGGTCAAGGGAGGAAAATAACAATTATACTGACCCGATTCTCAGAGCTGGCCAGCTGTCACAGTGCCCCCTCCAGCCTGTCTCCTCCTCTACTGCATCAATGAATGGCCCTCGGCCTCCTCCCATCCTATACACAGTGTATAGAACGTGATGACACCGGGAAAATAGACCACTGCGGAGTAGGGGGAGAGAGGCTCCAGGGACCGGTCTAAGAGCAAGCTGGCTCAGAGAATCAGGGAAGTATAACTTTTTTATTTTCCTCCCTAGACACAAATAAGCATTTAAGCTCTGCAATGGGGTAGCCCCAGAGTTCTTCTTTAACCAGAATTGATGTAATTTAAAGAATTACAGTAATTAGGATTAATTACAACATTCTATACTGTTTTGTTTCATGCCTGATTAAATGAAAATTAACCAAATAGAATGAAAATAAATGTATCATAATACAATTAAATTAGATAAGAAAATGCATAGCAAAAACAATATTATTAATTTAACGTAAAGTATTAAAAACTGCATGGTGTGCAGCCTTAGTCTGATATTTTAGCGTATTGATTCATCATTTTATATCCTTTTTTATTAGCTTATTTATTAGCAAATATTTTCACAGAGAGTTTTACCCAAAGCAGGGATAGCAATAGCCAGACAAATCCCAGGAGCCGGGTAGCCAATGCTACTTAAAAGTACAGCCAGCATCTAACTTTTGAGGTTTAATCTAGTTCTACATTCTGCTGGCTCATGGATTGGACAGACTGGTTCCTTAATTTCATATTAATTTGTCCACCCCTGGCAATAGCCATTACTAATTCAGGTGCCAAGTATTGTCTGGCATGAAATCAAAACTAATCCAATAAATAAACAACAAAACAAAATCAACTAAACTACCAAAATCACCTCTCCAGGCATTC